GAGCAGGCACTGGTGGACACGGGCTCCGCCGACTGCGAGCTGCGCGAGGCGCTCTTCCGATCCCTGGGCCCGCTGCCGGAGCGGGGGGGGGTAGTAGGGGGGGGCAGACCGCAGGAGGAGGAGCGGCGGCGTGCGAGGGGGGGGGTGGAAAGAGAAGGAGAAGGCCCTCGCACGAGGCGGCGGGGCTTCTCAGAAGCCCTCGCGCCGTCTGAGAGGCTTTTGGGGCCTTCGGGGAAGGCGTCGAAAGCTTCTCAGAAGGCCGGGAGACCTCCGAGCCTTCTCAGAAGACCTTCTCCGTCTCGCTTCCCCCCTCGCTCCGCGCGGGGAGGAGGGCTTCATCCTCCCTTTTTTCTTGCGCTGGCTGCAGGGCGCACACACTCGAAGCGTAAGCTCATCCTCCCTCTTCCACCTCCCTGTAATGGCTTGACGTCCTTGCTCCCATCGACTCGCGGGGATCCGGCCAGATATACCGGGGTAAATTGACGGAAATCGATCCAGTGGAGACCCATGCCAGGAAAGACCTTGTTTGCCTCCAGGGTGCCTTGGGTTTCTTGTGTTTCGATGGTTTTGCCATGGACAGCGTGACGCTCCCACACCGAAAATCTGAGGACGTCCTGGTGTCTCAGGGTTGGGTGTCTTGTGGACCTGCCTCCCCTGTACAAACACTTACAGAGCCAAGTTCGCCCAGGGATCTCCGAGATCCCCACTGAAGTCCCGAGCAGATCGTAGGCGTCCCGGCGCGGGCGGAGGGGCAGCGGAAGCCCGGAGCGAGTATCCCCCTATCCTTCTTCATGCTGCGCAGCTCCCCCTCGTCGCACCGCCCGGCGCGTCGGCGAGGGCGGGATGGGGGGGCGAGAAGGAGGAGAGGAGGAGGAGGAGGAGGAGGAGGAGGAGGAGGAGGAGGAGGAGGAGGAGGAGGAGGAGGAGGGAGGAGGAGGGGGAGGAGGAGGAGGAGGAGAAGGAGGAGGAGGAGGAGGTCGGTGATTTGGGATTTGGGATGTCTTTGGTCCCTCTCTGGGCCTTCTGTCGAAGCAGGGCTGGACCTGGAAGGTGTTTTTTTTTTTTTTGCGATTTCGTGGGCCGTTCTCGTTTCGACTTCGTCTTGCGGTAGAGGCGGATTCGAGACAAGAGCGAGGGAAAGCGAAACCAAAACGAAAGCGAGACACACCGTTTAGGTTCAGCCCTGAAGGGAAGGAGGGAGGGGGAAAGTACACGCCGGTCGTTGAAAGTAGGGATTTTTGGATTCCTATATGCCAATCTACTTCAAGCGCCTTCCTACTTCAAGAATCGACACGCTTTTGCTACGTTTTGTTATTCTCTGGGTGGGCCTGGACCCAATCAACTTAATCCGCCTTCCTACTTCATGTTCTTACCTACTTCTTCCGACCGACGTGTAAACTTCTGGCGCTCCGCGCGGATTTCTCGGATTCGCGTTGGGCCCCAGCGACGCCTCCGGCGCCGCCCCTGGCGCGCTCCGCGCGCCAGGGAGGGGGGTGCAGCTCAGATCCACGAAATCCGCGCGCACCGTCAAGAAAGCCGCGAGACATCCGCGAGAAAAACACCGTTTGGGTTCAGCCTCGAAGGGAAGGCAGGAGGGGGAGGAGGAGGAGGAGGAGGAGGAGGAGGAGGAGGAGGAGGAGGGAGGAGGAGGAGGAGGAGGAGGAGGAGGAGGAGGATCGAGGAGGAGGGAGGAGGAGAGGAGGAGGGGGAGGACCGGCGCCCCAGGGGGCCTCAATGCCCCGGCGCCCGGAGCTGCCTCGTGGGCACGGCCGCGCCAGGAGCTGGGCGCGGGGCAAGTTGTACGAGACCGTGGCGGGGCAGGGCACGCCCGAGCCTCCCCGGCGGAGGGTGGCCGACGGGGCCATCTCAGGGGGCGGCAGATAGTCCAGACGTGAATTACCTCCCCCGATTTCGCGCTTCCAGGCAAAACCAAGCCATACCACGCGCCTCCTCGCAAGCGGCTTGACCAGTACAAGCCGTGAATTGTGGCATTCGTTGGTATATCTTGGAAGCGAGGGTGGTCAAAAGCGAGGTAGGTTTGTTTTCCCCCGAGAGAGGGGGGTGACGACTAGGGTTACGTCGGGCCTGTCCCCCTACAGGGGGGACTTTCGACGGAAAAAATAAAACATACCCCAACAAAAAGACCCCAAAAGGGTCAGAAAATGTTCCAAAAACAGTCCCCAGACCATTTTTAGACTATTTGTTGATTCTTTCTAGGGTATTTTTTCTTCTTCGTCGAAAATCCCCCTGTAGGGGGACAGGCCCGACTTAAGACTAGGGGGGGGGGATACAATGGCGGGGGCCATGATGTTTCCCCAGATTTCAGGTCGCCTCTTCTTGTTTCGTTACGTCCCTGCCCCCCCCCCCAAGGGCCGCGCATATGCCGCCGGCCATGATTTGCACCCCCCCTCTTGGACACCCCCTTCTTGGCCGCTCCCGACCATCAGGGGGCGAGGAGGATGGACCGTTGTCGATCGTTGTCGATCGTTGAGGTCGTTGTCGTTGGGATCGTTGTTGTCATTGTTATCGTTGTTGTCATCGTTGTTGTCATCGTTGTTATTGCGTTGTGATCGAGCTGTCATCGTTGTCGTTGTTAATGTTGTCATCGTTGTCGTTGGTATCGTTGATGTCATCGTTGTTATTGTTGTCATCGTTGTTGTCATCGTTGTTGTCATCGTTGCGATTGTCGTTGTGATCGTTGTTGTCGTTTTTATTGCGAAGGCCTGACGGCGTCGGCGACGAGGTGGGCGGGGACGGAGGCCGTGGAAGAGGAGGAGGAGGAGGAGGAGGAGGAGGCGAGGAGGGGGAGGAGTGAAGGAGGAGGTGAGAAGAAGGTGAGGAGGAGGGGGAGGAGGGGAGGAGGAGGAGGCGGAGGTGCGGAGGGGGAGGGAGCAGAGGAGGAGGAGGAGGAGGAGGAGGAGGAGGCGGAGGTGAGGAGGGGGAGGAGGGGGAGGGAGGAGGAGGTGAGGAGGAGGTGGAGGAGGAGGTGAGGAGGAGGGGGAGGAGGAGGAGGAGGAGGTGAGGAGGAGGAGGAGGAGGAGGAGAAGAGGTATGATGTCTCAGGGGAGGAGGAGGAGGAGGAGGAGGAGGAGGAGGAGGAGGCGAGGAGGGGGAGGAGGAGGAGGAGGTGATCGTTGAGATCGCTGTCGTTGTGATCGTTGTTGTCGTTGTTATTTCTATCGCCGGGGGGCGAGGAGGATTCAAGCAGTGGCGAAGCGTCCTGGTTCGCCTGTAGCGCTACCAAACAATGTTCTGAGAACCTTTTGTGCTTTCCACGAACTGTGCTCAGAAACTTTCGGGCGGAGTCTGTCTTGTTTGATCACATCGGGTTCAGGTTCTAAGAGCATTGGTTTTGCTCTTAGAACATCTTGGGGTTCTAAGAACATTTCGTGGTAGGACTATAGGAATGCCGGAGTCTGTCTTGTTTGATCACATCGGGTTTATGTTATAAGAGCATTGGTTTTGTTCTTAGGACATCTTGGGGTTCTCAGAACATTTCGTGGTAGGACGATAGGAATGCCGGGACGGTCGGTCCCTGCTCAGAGGATGGACGGACGCCCGTGGCAGCGTCGGGGGGTGGCAACGTCGGGGGGGGGGGATGGCCTCTGGCGGGGGGCGAGAGGCTCTCCGACCTTGGAGGCGCTCGGACGCAGGGCTGGACCCAAACTTTCAGTCGGGCCTGTCCCTCTACAGGGGGGATGTTCAAAAATAGTATGTTTTTTGTTTTCTTGAACAAGAGAGGAGAAAAAAGTCTGGGGACGATGTTTTGGCCATTGTTGTGCATGTTTGGATTTTTTGGGGTATTCTGAATTTTTCGCCCAAAGTCCCCTGTAGGGGGACAGGCCCGACCTAAACCTAAACGGTGTTTGGGCGATTTCGCGGGCCGGTTTCGTTTCGATCTCGTTCTGCGAAGACAAAACGAGGGAACACGAACACAAAACGAAAACGAAAAACACCGTTCAGGTTCAGCCCTGCTCGGCCGTGTGCGTCGGTCCTCGTCCTCTGGATGCCTTCCAGCGGCTGCGCCTCGCCGAGGGCGCTCCAGGGATGCTCGGCTCGTCCCGAGGGCCCCCAATTCGTGTGGTGACAACACAGTGCGGTGAGTCGGTGGGGATTCGGGGTCACCGCACGGTTTTGGGACTCGGGTCCCTCTCCGAGGATGTCTCGGGCGACAGGGGCCTCCGAGGTCCCAGCACCGTGCGGTGACGGACCGTGCGGTGAGGTCTTTGGGGGATCTCGAGATCAACGCACGGTCGGTCACCGCACCGTTTCGTGACTCCAAAACGGCAGCCGGGGAGCCGAGTTATGGCCCGAAAGCCAGGGGGCAGCGTTGGGGCAGACTCCTGGGACCACGCACCCGCTCGGCCCCGACCCCTTCCCTGCTCGGCCCGCCTCCCCCTGCATGCCGACCGCGCGCGCTGGCCGGCCGCCGCCGTCAGTCGTCGTCGTCGTCGTCGTCGTCGTCGTCGTCGTCGTCGTCGTCGTCGCCGGTGGGGGCCTGATGGCCCACCCCGCCAGGGAGCGTGCGGCGTCGCCTGTGGGGGGGGCCGGTCGCCGCTCTGTCGGCGACGTCGGGAAATAAAAAAGCGATTCAGGAGAAAAGATGAGAAAATATAGGGAGATATGGGAAGTGGGGGGGAAGACAAAAATCCAGAAAATATAGGAAAACATGGTGAATCCTCTGATTCCCCAATCAGAGCTTGCCTCTGTAGGGGTCCTAGCGGATTAAAGGCTGAGGTGAGAGGTGCGGCCGATTTCGGTGGCCGGGCCCGGGTGCCCGGGGGTGCCCAGGTGCCCGGGTGCCCGGTGTGCGGCCGACTTCGGTGGCAGGGCCCGGGTGCCCGGGGGTGCCCGGGTGCCCGGGTGCGCGGGTGACGGGTGCCCGGGTGCCGGGTGCCCGGGTGCCCGGTGCCCTGTAGCCCTATAGCCTTATAGCCCTATCCCTATCGCCCTATAGCCCAATAGCCTTATAGTAGCCTTGTAGCCATACAGCCCTATAG